AATCCTTTGCTTTGTAGCTTTAGTTTACAATTGATACTTTTTTCAGAACAGCCGTTTTACGGAAATTATTCGAAATTACATTACACACTTTAATTTCTCACACGTTTGCCTACTCGTCAAGAAGGCGTCGAAAACCGTGACAAGGTCTATTACTTATCAAGTCAATGAAATGCTACAGGAAATGCAATGGAACACCCTTGAAGAAAGACGGAAAAAGGATAGACTAGTCATGTGCTATAAAATCACCAATGACCGAACTCTGCGAACTGGAATAGACACCGGGAAATATCTGAAGCCGCTGGCCGAGTTAGCCGTCATTCCAATAACAGCTAATAACCAAGCTTATGAGGTCCCATTCGCTCTCACTGATTATTATAAATTATCCTACTTCCCAAGAACAAGAAGAGAATGGAACGTTTTGCCAAACGAGACAGTAAATGTCTCTTCTTTGATGGCATTCACAAACTCCCTTTAATTTAATTTATAATGTTATTTATTACTTTCATTTTATTTTACTTATTTATTTATATATACATATATACATCGACCGCTGGCCAATTTCCAGTTTGCAAGAATCATCAATTGTTGTGATGGAGGCAAATAATTGGTAGATAGATAGATTTTAATTCCTTTGGTTTTTGCTGTATGACGTTTTTCTCCCCCTCCCCTCTCATTTCTCCTGACCGAATCTGCCTCTACCTTTTAAATGAAAAAAAAAAAAAACGCCAACAGCGGCGGGAAAAACTGAGCACTTGCTTGCCCGAAAACATACGCCTACACTGCAGGCTAAAATGCGCAGATCTCGGCTTTCATCTCATAAAGGTTTCCTCTGCCTGCGTGGGTTTCTTTTGGTTCTCTGCCACCTTTCGAAATAACAATCAAGTCTCACTAGATCCCTGTAAGTTTTGCTGAGTTCAGTTCTTACGATTTCTTTGGGGAACAAATTTAAGGGTTTGAAAATGTTCGACGACTGGTTTGAGCTTGTGTCCTAGCAACGCATCATCTCCAACGGACTCCTGAGCGTTCAGACAGTTACTACTGACATAGAAATCTCTCCCAGTCAAAACAGTTGTTTGTTTCAGCGCTCTTTTTTCTTGCAAAGCCCACAACTAATTTCACCACTATCGCCACTTTGTTGAACAGTGAGAAGACTGAGTAAGCTATTATGAAGAAAACTGGTCGGTAACTGATCGGGCATTAACTCCCGAGTAGCTAGAGCTAGAGATCATCCCTAAAATTTCCAGTCAGCTTTAATCCTTGTACAGGGAATCTAGCGAACCACGGAAAGAAAACTAAAGAAAAAAAAAATTAAAACTCTTTGGAAATCAAACCCACGATCTCCGGACAAGACGTACTGGTGCTATGTCGACTCAGCTACAAGGCCTGATAGTCAGATGGAGGCAGTTTGTCGGAGATTATGGTCTTATATCGCGGCAAAAAGAGAATAAAGGGCACATATGAATGCAATACCGCGTAGCAACAGAGCACAGATAATGTAACAGAGAATTTAATATGAGTATATAATTTATTTTCAACGCTAGAATATCAACCTACAAGTAACGTCTTAGTAAAGTCTTAGTGCAAGGAATCAGTGGGAACGAGGTTGTCAGTAGGAGTTAATTTTCTCTTCCACCATTTGCGATATAAAAAGGGTTACACTACACAACATTTATTTGTATCATAATGCTATTTGCAATTTAAAATTAACCCGCTTAATGCGGACACCGGATAATACGAACAACGGACACTTTCCTGTGTCCCGCGTGTCACAAAATCTCATATATTTTCATTCCCCCCTTTACGGACACTGTTTATCTGCGAGCTTTTCTATGACTGAATATTTTACCAGTGAAAACCTAGTGCAAACAGCGAATTACCTTTAAAAGTTTTATCTTCTGTTCAGTCCACCTGGCTGCGATGCACACTAAAGGCGTCAGTACAAAGTTGTTAAGTCACAGATTCCACTGTTGGTCAGTCGAAAAAGACTGGGTAGTTTTAGTCCGAGATAGCCTGCGTAGCAAGCGCCGGTTTCTGTGCGGTTTAGGAGCAAAGAACGAGGAACAAGAGTCAAAGACCGCACGAAAATGGCGCAAGTAAAAGAGCGGGGTTAGGGGTTAGGGTTTCCCCCCTCTTTCATTTTTTGGTTCTCGTTTCATTTCTCGCGCGGTCAAAACCGAAAATCCCGTTCCTCGTTTTTTTTGCTTCGAAACTAAACGGAAACGCTTGCTACGCAGACTAAGTCCGAGACTATGATAACTCAGGTGAAGTTTCTTTACTAGGCTTGTTACAGTCACTGACATGAAATGCAGGAAACAACCTCTTCTCGTAGAAATGTCTGCTTTAGTCTCTAGATCGATGAAACGTGAATCTGGGACAATTTTTTTCTGAAAGCCAGCTTAACACGGACACCCGAATAATACGGGTAGTATGGCATGTCCCCTTGGTGTCTGTATTAACCGGGTTCCTCTGCACTGTATCAGGAATTTTGTGATTTCAAAAGGTGGACGCATTTTCACGACGTTCTTAATTTCGGCGTTTATTAATTCATTGCGGCTAACAATCCTTTACCGTCATTGAACTGAAAGCTTTCGTGATCTTGGATTTATTTTAGACAAAAACCTAACACTTATATACCACATAAACGAGACATGCATAAAAGCAACCAATGCCATAAGGTCCATAGGGCGCTCGCAAATATCTCACTAACGAAAACCTCAAAATGTTAGTCAATGCTCTTGTTATATCACGTTTGGACTCCTGTACCAGTATCGGTCCTCTAAAACAGGAACTAGACAAACTTCAAAGAATTCAAAACGCTACAGCACGTCTTATTGGTGGAACTAACCAACATCAGCACATCACACCTGTTTTCGTGAACTAGACTGGCTACCAGTTGAATCACGTATAATATTC